TCCTTCTCTCCTCTCTTCCTTTCCTGTCTCCTCCACCATCATTCCTTCTCCTTTTGCTTCGTTCTCTTTCTCCTCCTCTTCCTCTCCTGTCTCCTCCACCATCATTCCTTCTCCTTTTGCTTCGTTCTCTTTCTCCTCCTCTTCCTCTCCTGTCTCCTCCACCATCATTCTTTCTCCTCCTCCAGCCTTCCTTCTCCTTCTGCTCCTTCTTCACCTTCTTCTCCATCAGGATTCCTTCTCCTCCTCCATCATTCTTTCTCCTCCTCCAGCCTTCCTTCTCCTTCTGCTCCTTCTTCACCTTCTTCTCCACCATGATTCCTTCTCCTCCTCCATCATTCTTTCTCCTCCTCCAGCCTTCCTTCTCCTTCTGCTCCTTCTTTCACCTTCTTCTCCACCATCATTCCTTCTCCTTTTGCTTCGTTCTCTTTCTCTTACTCTTCCTTTCCTATCTCCTCCATCATCATTCCTTCTCCTCCATCCCCAGTCAATATCCTCCTCCTCCACCATCGTTCTTTCTCCTCCTCCATCATTCTTTCTCCTCCTCCAGCCTTCCTTCTCCTTCTGCTCCTTCTTCACCTTCTTCTCCACCAGTATTCCTCCTCCATCATTCCTTCTCCTTCTTTCTCTTTCTCCTTTTTCTCCTCTCTTCCCTTCCTGTCTCCTCCTCCATCGTTCCTTTTCCTTCTTTCTCTTTCTCCTCTTCTTCCCTTCCTGTCTCCTCCTCCCCCACCATCATTCTTCTCCTCCATCACCCTTCGATCTCCTTCTCCTCTTCCTCCTCCTCCATCATTCCTTCTCCTTCTTTCCCCTTCTCCTTTTTCTCCCCTCTTCCCTTCCTGTCTCCTCCTCCATCATTCCTTCTACTTCTATTTTCTGTTCCTCCTTCTCTTAAATCCTCAACGCGAAACTCTCTTGTGATACTTGAAGAACACGGCAGAAGTAACAGAGGTGGAAGGGGCCTTGCAGGTCATCTAGTCCAACTCCCTGCCCAAGCAGGAGACCCTACATCTGCCTCTACCTGGGATCGAACTCACACAACTTCCTGATTGTGAGGCAAGAGCTCCACCTTTAGGCCAGTGCAGAAATTATTTGAGGGCTGGGGTGGGGTGGGGGAGAAAGAATTGGAGTCAAGGCCGGAGATCTGCTTATTTGAGCTGGGCACGGAAGGACCTGCGTTCTCCCAACGAGAAGGTGGCAATATCAGCTTATAGAAGGCTGGTTTAAGCTAAGATATTGCTTGATTGTGTACTGCCAAGTCAGGGTAGACCTTTAGCCACGAAGATGGACCTTCTCCGTGACAATCTCTCCCTAGCCTGGTTTTTCAGATCTATTCTATTCTATTCTATTCTATTCTACTCTACTCTATTCTATATTCTACTCTACTCTACATTCTATTATATTCCTTATTCTCTTCTCTTCTTCTCTTCCCTTCTCTTCCTTATTCTATTCTTTTCTGTCTTCTCTTCCCTCTTCTCTTCTATTTCTTCTTCTCTTCCTTATTCTTTTCTTTTCTCTTCTCTTCCAAATTCTCTTCCCGCTTCTCTTTTTCTATTCTATTCCTTATTCTCTTTTCTTCTGTTCCTTATTCTATTCTGTCTTCTCTTCTTTTTCTCTTCCCAATTCTCTTCCACTTTCTGTTCTTCTCTTCTATTTCTTCTTCTCTTCTCTTCCTTATTCTATTATCTTCTCTTCTCTTCCCAATTCTCTTCCCTCTTCTCTTCTCTTCTATTCCCTCTTCTCTTATTCTCTTCTCTTCTTTTCTCTTCTCTTCCCTCTTCTCTTTTTCTATTCTATTCCTTATTCTATTCTATTCCTTATTCTCTTTTCTTCTCTTCCTTATTCTATTCTGTCTTCCCTTCTGTTTTCTCTTCCCAATTCTCTTCCATCTTCTCTTCTATTTCTTCTTCTCTTCTCTTCCTTATTCTATTATTTTCTTTTCTTTTCTCTTCCCAATTCTCTTCCCTCTTCTCTTCTCTTCCTTCTTCTCTTCTCTCCTCTCTCCTCTCTTTTTTCCTTATCCTATTCTAGTCCTTATTCTCTTCTGCCCTCTCTTCCCCTTCCTCTCCTCACCCGCCCTTCCCCATGGGTCAATCTTTTGCGACTTTGTATCCGAACAGCTCACATGTTCCTGCCCCCCCCCCCCCCCCCCGAATCTCTTCCCAAGAACAGATTTATCTTCATCCGAAATGGCTCCATTTAAAACAGAGGAAACTTGCAAGATCAGGTTATTGCTGACCTTATCTTGCTCCGGCATGCTTTTCTGTCAGATAAATCCGCTTTTTTTTATGACCATGTAATCTTTTCTGCGCATGGGAGAGCTATGACAGGTGCCAGGTAAAATAGCTTTGGGTAATAAAGTTGTTTTTTAAATAAGAAAGTACATATACACACTCCTACTTTCCAATATAAGCGGAGCGGTTTGAAGATGCAGGATTTTTCCTAGGCGGGGAAAGAGCCCTGAAGAAATGTTTCTTTGAGTCTCAGATTTTATTAAAAACTACTTTTTCTCCAGATAGCAATAGCAATAGCAGTTAGACTTATCTACCGCTTCATAGGGCTTCCAGCCCTCTCTAAGCGGTTTACAGAGTCAGCATATTGCCCCC